ATAAAAAAAAACCGCGTACAGAGAGTTGCGAACAACATGCTTTTGTTTCTTTTTAATTAAATTGTTAATGAGATTTTTTGAAAAACCGTTAGAGACCGCTATTTGATAAATTATATTAAGTTCTTTTAAATAATTTTCTTTACTTAATGGGACAGTGAACAAACGGTTAATGTAACAATAAAAAGCGGCTACTTTATGTTACCACGGATGACATGATGACGCGGGTATGACCGTGTCGGTGTGAGTTGGCTTTCTATAAATTTGGAAAACATGTGACGATTCATTTCTTGTTATTGTTAAGTCGAGAAAATTAAGGGAACAATCTTGTTCCAATTCAAGTTTAAATTTAATTTTGTCATGGACTCTATTTATTATATTGAGGAAAACATCCAGTTATCTCCTTGTGCCAGTCCAGCAAATATTTATGTCGTCTACGTATCGATAGTAATATAAGATATTTTGATTGACAACTATATGTTATTTTTCGAAATTATCCATGAAAATGTCCGCCATAAGGGGACTTAGAGGCCTACTCCTTTTTAAAAAGTTCCCCTGGTGTTGCAGTTGTTCATGGGCGGCGGTAGTCACTTACCATCAGGTGAGCCGCATGCTCGTTTGCCCCTCTCATATAAAAAAAAATTTCTACCCTTGAGGGCGGATTTGCTTCTCGTCGGACAATCCCAGCAATGTTAATATGGTAGCCGAATCAAATAAAAAAACTACCCCAGGAGGGTACCAGCATCCTGGTGACCGAGAATCCTTCTTTAAGCAACCCTTCTGTTCCTGAGGGGGGGGGGGGTGTATCCGCAGAGATCGTGATCCTTGGCCTACGACCATCACGCCGAATGGCTCGGATCATATTTAACTGATCATGTAGGCAAATTTGTTTATGACTTTGCCTTGGCATATGGTCTTACACAGCTGGTTACTTTACCTACGCGGATTCCAGATGTGGAGGATCATGCACCTTCCTTGTTGGAACTTATGCTGACCTCTCATTCGGACGGATATCAGGTTTCCAACAACATCCCTCATGGCTCCTAGGGCTATTGTCTTGTCCGGAGAATGGTGTCACTCACACTATCGTCGCGGTTGCATTCTGCAGGCTGCCGCCGTGTTTGGCACTATAAGTCGGCCAATTGGGAAAGGATGCGGTCTTTTTTTGCATGCTACCCTTGAGATTTTCCCCGGATTTTCTTTTCGCTGGACAATCCCAGCAATGTTGCTGATTTTGTCGCTGATGTGGTACTTCAGGATATGGAACTTTTATTCCATCTTCAGTGGTGCCCATCGGAGGCAGATTCCAGCCATGGTTTGGTCGCTCATGTAAAATAGCTTCACACTATAAGCAGGAGTGCTACCAGGCCTAGGCTGACGACATCTTTACATCCCGAAACGTTGGTGTCTCGGGATTTAAACACCAGCGCTCTTCAAAAGAAGTATAATTCCGCCTCCAGGTTCTTCTAAAAAGTACTCTGTGGGTTCTTCAAAATTCATTGCCAAGGCAAGGTCAGAGCACATCGGCAGAGATGGTGAGAGGCTAGTTCGCCTTCCTTCGGTAACCCGTGCATTCTGGTCTCTTGCCAAGGCTGTCCAAGGGAACTTCTGTCAGCCCTCTCTGCAAATAGAGGACGACTCACTGAGTCCATGTCGCAAAGGAGAAGGCCGATCTGTTAATCTCTCTCAACCCAAAATTAACCGGTTAATTCCGTAAAACGTAAAGGCAGTTATGAATAGGACAGGTAGATTCACGTTGTGAAAGACCTGCCACTCCATGCCAGATGTGCCGTTTGTCGTCAACAAGTCGAGAGGTCTGATGGAGTCCCTCCCATTGTGCTGAAGAAGTGTGCTCCGAAGTTGGCACCGGTTTCAACGCGTCTTTTCCGGTACTTCTACTACTAGGGCATGATCCCAAATTCATGAAAGACAGCTTTGTTTTGACAGTTCACTCGATCCCTAAAAACGGCGACCGCTCAGACCCGTCAAACTACAGGCCTATCGCCATCACCTCCTTGTTCTCCAAAATAATGGAATCCATTATAAACAGTTTTCGTTGGGCTTGATCAGCTGGTGATCTTCTGGTCTATCTAACTCATAGATGGGCGAAGGTAGTAGAGTCCAAGGGGTAGGCATTGGCCCTTATTTTGATCATAGCGAAGGCCTTCGATCGGATCTGGCACAAAGTGCTTCTTTCGAAACTCCCTTCCTATAGGCTTAACTAGAAATTGTGCAATTGAATCACCAGTTTCCTTGCTGATTGGAGCATCAAGGTCGTAGTGGACGGTGCATGCTCTGATTACAAGCCTATTAGCGCTGGTGTTTCACAAGGCTGCGTGCTATCACCAACGCTGTTTCTACTGCATATCAATGATATGTTGCAAACTGGTAACAACTACAAGCACTGGTGATGCAATATACACCGGCCGGAGATAGAGGTTGGTCCTAATCACGAGCTTCTGAATTTAAAAAAAATCTGGTAATCTACCTCACTTTAGTCCTAAAAAGAACAAATACTATAACATATAACTTCACAAACTTTTAAAAATATCGTGTTCTGTTAAGAACTACTAAAACTTTACCGTGCCTAACTTATGCTTGTCAGACTTGGAAATACACAGAAAAAATAAAGAAAAAACTTACCAAGTGTCAACTGAGCCTAGAACAAAGCATGCTAAAAATTAGGAAAATCCAAAAAATAAAACACACTAAAATAAGAAGCATATCTAAAGCTACTGATGCTCTAAACTATGCCAAAAACCTGAAATGGAAGTGGGCGGGGCATGTCTCGCTATATGTCATACACTGTCAGACGAGCGATGGACCATAAGGGTGACGCGGTGGAGAGGTCCAAGCGGAAAACGCTACAAAGGGAGACCGCTTACGAGATGGGCGGATGATATAAGCAAAACGGCCGGCCCAAGCTGGATGCAAAAAGCCCAAGGTAGAAAGAATTGGGACTATATGGAGGAGGCCTTCACATGCGGAAGGGTCTTGCAGATTAAATATTTATCTTTATCCTAAGCTTAGTTTATTTATTTTGTTACTTTTGCAAGAAATAAGAGGATTTTTTATTTTTATTTTATTTATTACTAAAACTAATGACATTGAATTAAAGATGCAAAGTGTAATTTTAATAGAAAACATTAACTATAATTATCGCCAATTTAAATACATAAGGTGAAACTAAACTTGATATCGAAACTTAATTTTAAAGTGAAGATAACGCATAATTAATTGAAACAGAACTGACATTTGTTATTTATAATACGAATCGTTGCTGAAAGATGAAAAAATATGAGGGAGTACCTACGTAACAAGGCAGCAATGATGCAATGAATATATCGTACGTGTGTCTAAAAACCTCGTGAATTAAACAGAGGGCAGCCGTACAAAGTTGGGTGCAAGCCATTGGGTGAAAAACCGGTATCCCGCAAAAACCGGTTGTGGGGTCAATGACCGAAACCGGTTAGGAATTTGAACCAGTTTCCGAGCCCTGGTTGCATCCCTTTGCATTTTCTATCGCATCTATCGGGGAGTGCTCTGAGGTTCGGTTTAATCGCAGCCACTATATTTCATGAACCCACATCGTGTCAAAATTCATGATACCACCCTCATCATCTAGATGCTTGATGGGCCACCACTGTGCGTTTTACTAGATTTCTTCCTCGTACAACTTCTCTGTGGAATTGTTTACCACCGGCGATTTTTCCGGACCAATTACACTTAGGGACCTTCAAGTAAAGAGCTTACTCCTTTCTGAAAGGCTGGCAACGCGCCTGCAATTCCCCTGGTGTTGCGGTTGTTCATGGGTGGCAGTATTCGGGCCGCAGTTTCGAATCCCGCACGGAACAAGTATTTGTATGGCCTACAAATAATTGTTCCGGGTCTGGATGTTTGTCCTTATGAAATTTATGATTTTTTTTTTATAGGATAGGGTGACAAACGAGTACACAGTCCACCTGATGGTAAGTGGTTACTGTGGCCCATAGACATGTACATCTATCCTCCTTTGCAAATCAAAATAATAATAATAATAATAATAAAAATGTAGATGCGTTGTCACCCGTAAGGACTAATATGGAATGCCTCTTTTCCAGTTAATAGGCTCTCCAGTTCTCTACACTCACCATACGAAATAGCAGTATTAAGCTACTATTTTACGCTGGTATTCTGTGAGAGCGTGGTCCTTCCCAGGTCAAGCCGACCCAAACCCGGGAATGTTTTATTTAGAATAAGAATCATAAGGCTGTTGATTTTATACAGGTAAGAAATACACAAATAGTTTTAGTTTTTCATAGAAGATCTTTAGAAGAGTTTTTTTATTCTATATTATTTAAAAGATATTTTTTGTTAGTTTTATGAGACAAAGGAATCTTTTTTGTATTAATACTACCTTCATTAATAATTTAATATTTTTTAAGATAAAAAATACCACAAATATTGTTATTACAAATAAAAAATCATTTAAATATGATTTGGTTTTATTTACAAATTTTTTTCCTAAATTGTCACAGTTTCGTATGGAACCACCCCCTACAACCAACCAAATAAAACAGCTAGTGAATATCACACCAATTTCCTATACATCCTTAAACCTATCCCAATACCAAAAATTCAAATACACCAAAAACATTTTGCCCTCTAAAGGATTGAAAAATAATATTAACAAAAAACTAACAGAACTTCAAAATCAAGTTGTTAAATAAATTCAAAAATAGTTCATCAATCAGTGTTCACACTGACAATGCCTCCCAAGAAACAGTTTGTAGAATTTGTGTTTGAGCTTTGATTTATTTAAATTTTTTATAAGGGCCATAATTTTAAATATACAGGGATGTAAAATACCTTAACTAAGCAAAACAAATGCCAAATATAAATAAAATTTGAGGTCTAGAAATATGGTGGGTTAGAAATGCTCGCCATGCAATTTTTCTAACTTTTTGAAGTAGGAATTTCTCTAATGAGAATGACAAAAATTTTTTTTAAAGAATAATCTACTATTAACTACCTGCTGAAATTTTGTGTTTTATAAAATCTGATACCATAAAGGCAATAAATTGTGATGATTTAAAAATAAAAGCATGATCTGTGTTTACTTCTATCATTTGAAGATAAGGTTGGTAAATCATTAAATCTTTCATAAAACTTAAAGGAGCCCATCCATCATCAACAGAATATATTATATTAGTTAAGTGCTTAACTTTGTCTACACCTTCTTTATTTAATGTCGTTACATTATCCATTTCATCAAATGCAAGAAATAAAACTTTTTCAAAAATATGTGGATTAAGATATTTTAAAAATCTTTTATCATAGTGTGCTGGCAGACCACAAAGCCTAAGATATATATTTATTAAAAATAAAGAAACTCTTTCAGGCAAAAAACATATTAATTTAATTAAGAATAACACTAAACCATGAATCTTTCTCACATAATTATTCAACCAAATCCCATTTTTAGATTTTGCCATTCTTTGAATAGTAGGAAATAGTAAATTAATTGATAATGTCTTTTTATACAAATGATCATAATTCTGTAATAATTCTATTACAAACCAGGAACCAATGGAATGTCCAACGAAATGTAATTTGCTCTTATTGTCTATAATATTGTCAAGAAGGTCCAATTTATGCTTTAATTGACCTTTTAAGTTAAACAAATGTTCTTGGCCTTGTAATTTACTGCATTGCATATCAGATACATTATCATGACCAGCATGTCCTAAAACCAACAAAAGTTAATTTTAATAGCAACCACTAAAATATTTAAAACCATTATTTCTTAATAATAGAATTCCAGCACTTACCGATAATACAAACTGGTAAACCAGTTTTCGAATGAAGTTCCTGGCCAAATTCTAAGTAAAAGTCAACAAAACCAGGATTCCCAGTAATGCAAATAATTGTATCTTTTCCATTAGAACTGGAGGGATTACCAAAAGTTATTAGGCTTGTTTGAATGCTATTATGAGTTTTGTTAAGTATCTCCATTTTATTTTTATTTATTTCCTCAAAGAACTTTACTGTAATCGTAAATCGAAGAACCTAATTGCAGTAGAGTAATATACAGTAGTAGCTAGTAGGTATATTTCATGCTGACGAATCTTGCTACATATATATTTATCTATGTTATGTTATTAGTCACAAACTATATAGTTATTAGTTCATACCCCGTGAGTACATAGTATAAATATTTGGGATATACAAAGACATTTAAGTAGTTACCTATATATTAAAATCTCTTTGGGGATATAATACCCTTCCCGATGTATTACATTTGGCTTAGTTTCTCTATGTAATTCACAAACTATATAGAAACACTACGATGTAATCGTAATGTAATATACCCATTGATACCTTTACATGTCAAGGAAATAATTAAAAACGAAATTGAAGTTTGCTTTCCTCCCGATTTATTTTTTTAGTTTATGGTCACAAACTATATAGAAACACTACATACGCGTTGATACGCGTTTTTATGGTTTATTTACTTTGTTCCACAAAGTAGGGATTGCGATCTGAGATCGATTAATCGATTTTTCAGGACCAAATCGATTCACTGGACCAATAGAGTACTGCATATCGATTTAAAAAATCGATATGCAGTACTCTATCGGTCCAGTGAATCGATATTTGACCTATGAAAATCACCATTTGATTTTTTTTATGGTAAAAACCATATAGTTATTTACAATCTGTTATATAAAAAAATTTATATCTTTTTTTTTTATAGGAGCTTATGGCCTGGTATCTAGACCTTTAGGCCAAGTCTTTAGTATTTTTATTCGGTTTATTATAAATAATTATCCTTCATAGTTCACTGCTTCACAATATGTTGATGCGTCACATTGTGCAGCCCTTGGGAGATTATGACGGCAACTTGAGCCAGCAGACAGCTGATAGTTGGCGATGGTATCTAAAGGCGCCTATGCAAACAAACGGCTTATCTTGAGAATCCATCACCATCAGAGCACTTGTATCACCGTTTCCACTAATAGTTCACATGCGTAGACAGTTAATACATAAAATCGCACCACTTTTACATATCAAAATCCACTTCAAACTATTATTTAAACTATAATACAGGAGCAGCAAACCGCCGCCGGTCGAGTTCCCGCCAAAACTCAAAATTTTATATCCATGATATTACGGTGTTGCCGGTTAATGGGTTAATTACTCAAAAACTCGCGAGATGGCTGTATAATTTTCCTCCACCTCCATTTAATAAAAAAAAGTTAGGTTTGTAGGAAGCATTGGTGTTTTCAGTTTTTAGCTGCAGATATTTAGTTTTCATATTGTTATTGAAAACCGTTTTCAAATATCGATATCAGTAGTAATCGTTTGCTACAGAATGCACAAACGACAACCAAAACATAACCGAAAACTGTAGAACCAGTGCAACATTTATTTTACGAATTACTTCGATGATTTTAGTTTAGAAGTTAGAGGTTCTAATGTAATCTTAGATGTAATATTTAGACATGTATGTTAATATATAATTTATATAAATTCATTGTTATGCAGTAATTTTACCTATTTTTTTGTGACGTAGTATCAGAGTTTGATTTCAAAGTCTATAATTAAGGTGTATTCATATGAAATAAACGTAATTTATTAGAAAACTATTTTAGGTAGTTTATTTATTAATGGTTATTTAAGTTGGCGATTGTCCTTCATGCTTAACTAGGCTTAGGACGAGCATGAAAGTTTAAAATTCGAATTCCACAAAATACAAAATAGACAACATATATTGCAAAATAAAGAAAGTAAATCACAACGTAGTAGATACAAGAGGTATCTACATAAAAACTAAAAATAACATTTTCTGGCGCATTTAAAAATCGCCGTATCAACATATGATTACACAAGGCGTAAAAATATTCACAGACATATTCCACATTTTTTTCTTTTAAATTTTTTGTTTTTTATTTTCAATTTTTATTATTTATAATATCGTTTTTATCAAGATTTTCATTTATAAATATAATATCCTCAATTTTGTGGGACTTGAGAAGATAGCTTTTTTCGTAAATGATCTATATTTTCACTTTACACATAATTGTCTGAATTAAAACTAATGTACAAAACGCACACAAATATATTGCAAATAATTCGCAAACGCAACGTCAAAAAATTATAATTTTATAGATAATATCTTAGTGAATGGCACTCGCCAACAAGATGAAGCGCGTGATTGTTGCGTTTTGAAAAAAAAAATCAAATTCTAAACTTTCCGTCCAAAACAAATAAAAAGATGCCTAAACCAAATATAATATGGTCATACAAATCTAAGTCTTGTATCTAATGTTCTAAAGATTATTTAAATTTGACAACTCTCACAACTACACAAACTTAAAAATTAAGCAATTTTAACCATTTAAAATTCCTCCTTATTGCATTTGGTAATTAATTTTATATTTCACTATGTGCACAGTTGTGTGATAAGTACCAAAACATCGCAACGAAATCCATATTCGCTTAATCTCTTTCATACGTATTTATGACACTGTCGCTAGAACGAGAAACAAAGAATATCAACGAAGGACATTGGTTAGTTTTGGGTCGTGTTGTCATATCGTTCTAGTTTGCGTTTTACGTTTCGTACGTTGGTTTTTGGTTGGATAAGTGATAATGGTCATGTACTTAGGTTTATCGATAAGATATGATATTTTGATAACATAACGTTATAAGTTACGTATTGATATATTGGTCTCATGCCTAGTTTGTAGTATATGACCATATATGACTCTGTATTTGTTGATTGATATTGCGTCATTTATTTATTTATATAAGTAAACTGTGTCGTGATATTATACTGTTATTAGCGAAATAAATACTTATTATTGTGTATATATATTTTGTGTATAGCACAGTAATGCACTTGCACTGAAAAGTCAGGGTTTAAACGAAGAATTTAAACACTATAGTCTGCGTTATAGCATGGTGCGGATGACATCTTACATGATGGCAGATGACGGCGTATCTAGAGATGGAACAATGTTAAATCGATTAGAAAAAGACGATTAACAATACACAAAGCAAAGCAAAAATTATCGATTAGCTATCGATATAAAAATTAAAACCGAAACATATATTTCTTTATAAACTAAAATGCATGTAAAATTAAGTTAAAGTTTAATAAAAATTATGACATAATACTTACATAATAGCTGTTCCCGTACCTAGTCCGCTTATTATTTATTACGATTGGCTTTCGTGGGTTTTAATTTTTTTGGGCGGAACCCTAATTCTTTTTCTAAAACTAAATTAGCCTCTTTTACTCCTTATAACATCAGCTATCTGCCAGTGCTAGCTATAAGCTGGAACAAACAGAGAGACAGACAAACATTTTAAAAATTGTTTTTGTCTTCTACACTATTATATTTTATTTTAATGTTTAATATATATATATATATATATATATATATATAATATTATATTATATTATATTATAAAATATATTATTATTATTTATTATCATTATACTATTATAAAGAGGAAAGATTTGTTTGTTTGTTTGTTTGAATTGAATAGGCTCCGAAACTACTAGACCGATTTGAAAAATTCTTTCACCAATAGAATCCTACATTATCCCTAATGAACATAGGCTATGTAATATTTTCAAAAAGTTAGGGATCCGTATGAAAACTTCGTTAATGTAACCCAAGGTGTGAAAGAAATACCAAAAAGAATCCTTATATCGCGTACGCTTCGGAAACTATTGATAATAGAGCAAAGTAATGTACTTCACTTTTATAGAGGATATTAATATCTACAAAAAAGTCTGCGATACCATATGTTTAACTATTACAGTTATGTCACAATAACTACTTTTTCATGTTAAAATGTGAAAAGTAACGCCGGTACAAATACTACTAATACGTACTGATACGAATAATGTATCCTAGACATTATTGGTATCAGTACCTGTATCATGCATAACCACCAATTATGTTAACCATGTAATTTTAGTAACATATTTCACTTTTTAAATCTTTGTTAATTCAGCAACCGTCCGTCGTGATGTCTCTCTCGAAGTTCGCATGTCGCAAGGCGCAGATGCGTGATATACGCGGGTGAAACCGCGGGGCACAGTTAGTAATATTATAAAGAGGAAAGATTTGTTTGTTTGTTTGTTTGAATTGAATAGGCTCCGAAACTACTGGACCGATTTGAAAAATTCTTACACCATTAGAATCCTACATTATTCCTGATGAACATAGGTTATATAATATTTTCAAAAAGTTAAGGATCCGTATGAAAACTTCGTTAATATAACCCAAAGTGTGAAAAAAATACCAAAATCAATCCTTATATCGCGTACGCTGCGGAAACTATTGATAATAGAGCAAAGTAATGTACTTCAGTTTTATAGAGGATATCATTATCTACAAAAAAGCCCGCGATACCATATGTTTAACTATTACAGTTATGTCACAATAACTACTTTATCATGTTAAAATATGAAATAGTAACCTTAGTTTGTACCGGACAAACTAGGCAACAATTATAAAGAGGAAAGATTTGTTTGTTTGTTTGTTTGAATTGAATAGGCTCCGAAACTACTAGACCAATTTGAAAAATTCTTTCACCATTAGAATTCTACATTATTCCTAATGAACATAGGCTATATAATATTGTCAAAAAAGTTAGGGATCCGTATGAAAACTTCGTTAATGTAACCCAAGGTGTGAAAAAAATACCAAAAAGAATCCTTATATCGCATACGCTGCGGAAAGTATTGATAATAGAGCAAAGTAATGTACTTTAGTTTTACAGAGGATGTCAATATCTACAAAAAAGCCTGCGATACCATATGTTTAACTATTACATTTCTGTATAACATGTGTAACAATAACTACTTTTTCATGTTAAAATATGAAATAGTAACGACGGTATACATACATTCAAACTTAATGGCGGCTCGGAACATCGTACGTTCCGATGCGCAGAACACAATTTTTGGGTATCAGCGGGATGTAGAGGGACGT